GGGTGGCCCCCCCGCGCGGGGGAGGAGGCGGCGGGGGGGCCGGCGGGCCCGGGGAGGGCCGCTGCCCGTGGGGGAGGCGCGGCACGGGAGGTGCGAGGCGGGTGAGAAGCCGTGGGGGCTGAAGCGTCCCGTCGTGGAGTCCCACAAAACTCGTCCGCCTCGGATCTGCGTTTCAAGCACGTAAGGTCGCCGTCTTGGTTTGCACATGTCCTGGGCGATTCGCTTTTTCGTGTGCTCTGAGGGAAACCGCAGTTGAAGTAAAAATCACGCCGGGTTCCGCATTTTCGCTTTGGTTTGACCTGGAGCCGTGGGCAATCTGTCAGGGTTGCTTCTATTTCCTTTGACTGTTCATATTTATCTGCCTTCCAAACTAACATCCAGACGCATGGTCACCATTCTGAAACACAGACGAATACCTGCGTACTCCGCCTCTCTCCTTTCATCTCCTTGAAAATTTATTTTCAGTCTTGTCTTGCTGCCTTGAGTACACATTCCCTGTGGTGGAAGCGTAGTGAGTTAGAAGGTGAGCACTTGGCGTGCCTTTGAAGATATTGGGAAGCGAGACAGAAATTTAACAAAAGACTTTGGGACAGTGTACATTGGTGTGAGTACAGAAGAGTAATGACACACATTATTCTACCGCTAAGACTGGAGGTACTCTACACCCGATGCCTTTTGGCAGTAGCGTGTTGCTCGCATTCCTCAGGTGTAACTTGAATCTAATAATTCACTGATACTTCATGATTACACTCAAGCACTTTTAAAAAAAAAAAAAATAGCCTGTCCCTTTTAGTATTGGCTAATACCTCTGTAGTACTCTGAAAGAGAGGTGTTAGGTAATCGGTCTTTAGTAATTTTGAGTGGCAGAAGTTTCTGGTGGAAATAAAGGGTTTATTTCTTTTTAGGTTAGACATGCAAAAAATATTGGAATGAAATTAATATTTGAGCTGTCTTAATATATGCTGATTTAAAACTTTCTGTTTAATTACCCCTCAATATCAGGTATCTTTGTTTTTTCCCTTGAAACAGAAAATTAAAAGAAATAGTATACAAGCACTATATATAGTCTCTTTTTTAAATAAATGGACTGAAGAAATATATTAATGTTCACTGTATTTTTAGAAGTAGAATTTGACAAGTTTTTTTTGTCAGTAATGTATTGTTCTGTTTTGGTTCCTTGTAGAAAGAGGATAGGATTCACTTTATTTTACTGCATCAACATTTAAGTCACATTGCTGAAAAAATGTTTCATCCACTGTTCTGCAAAATCTCATTATACTAACTATAGTTTTGTGAGTAGTAAATAACTCACTCTTAAGTGAGAGTTGAGTATTTAAATTTTTCACATGACTTTTTGCAGTGCCTGGACATTATTTGGAGGGAAAGAAAAAGGCACGTCGTTGGCTCAAGCAGGTGGTAACTTACTGTTTGGCGATCACTAGCAAAGGCTCTTAGTTGCTATGTAAACATTTATTACAGCTCATGTGATGTTTCTTTATACTTTTATTGTAGGAGGTAGGCAGTAACAACATATAATTTGAGCAGTGATCTTTTATTTGTTTTTGTCAGCAGCATTAGTATATAGCTCTTTAAAAGATCAGTAGGACCTGCAAGGAGTAACCAATACAGGTTACTGACAAACTTGAGGGGAATCATTTTATTTACTGGACTTGAGAACATCAGTGTGCTATTTCAAAGAAGGTCCATGTATTTTTGATTTATTGTACTTTGGATAGATCATATTAAAACACCGGTGGTATAAAAATACAAAATAACTATGGACTTTAATGTAGCTTCACTGGATTTCTGTAGATGAAAAATTAGATAGGAGCTGGCACTGTGCGCTAGCAGCCCAGAAGGCCAACCATATCCTGGGCCATCAAAAGAAGCGTGGGCAGCAGGTCGAGGGAGGTGATTCTGCCCCTCTACTCTGCTCTTGTGAGACCCCACCTGGAGTGCTGCACCCAACTCTCGAGCCTTCAGCACAAGAAGGACATGAACGTCTTGTACCAGGTCCAGAGGAGGGCCACAAAAATGACCAGAGGGCTGGAGCACCTCTCCCATGAGGACAGGTTGAGAGAGTTGCGGTTGTCCAGTGTGGAGAAGAGAAGGGTACGGGGAGACCTTATCGCGGCCTTTCAGTGCTTAAAGGGGGCTTATAAGAAAGATGGGGACAGACTTTTTGCAGGGCCTGTTGCGATAGGACTTCACTTCTCTGGTGTTTGTCATATCTAGACCATTTTTTATGCTGAATCCATTCTCGTATTTAAACAATAGTCCTGGTTTCCTGTGAGAGAAGCTGACAGGCACCGCAATGTTGTTTATCTTGTAATGGCATAGTTTTGATACTGGTTTGCTTCGGTCTGTCCCGTTATACTTCATGCACTTAAACTGCTCACTGCCTGAGAAGTCCACAAGCACAGCTTGCTGTGCTCTTGCAGACAATTCTTGAGAAAACAGTGTGTTTGGGCAAGAAGTAGACATCTGAGTGATCTCTAGATAGATTTAGACTGTAGTAGTCAAGAAAGTTGAAGAAGGCAGATGGAAGTTCAGAATGTGTCCCATCTGCCTGTTTTAATATTGCTTATGAACAGCAACATAAATAAATTGTAAAGAAATGTGTTACCAGAAAGCTGTTAAAAAATAAGGGTATGGAGAAGCAGCAGAACTTAATTTAGGCAAATTTTGAGAGATCTAAATAAAATAAGAAAGTGCTGGCTACACTGTGTAATTCCAAACTCATTTATTACAAATTGATCTGGAACATGAAAGTCCTACTTAGAAGACTCCCCCTCCCTAAACATGTTGGTCTTTAATATATCTGCATGGTGTTCCGACAGATCCTGTGCAAAATAGTTACTGTAGCTCTTACTTCCCTGATTTGGTAAGAACTTGCTGGAAAATGGAAAAGCAAGCAAGATGAGAACATGACAGTAATGAAAGTCTGTAACATGAGCAAGACAGAGGTTATGTAGTTCAGTTACTTCTTGAAATCTTCTATATTGCTACACATAAGGACTATGAAAAAAGCAGCCTTAATCTGTGAATGGAATGCTTAAAAATTTTTATTAGCACCTGCCAATCCTTTAGCAAACTCTAAAACAAAGCCAAGTGATTTTTGTCTTACGTCATATGTATGACATAAAGGGTACCTCCCAAGCTTGCTTTGGCTGTCATACACAGGCATTCAAAACCCTAAATAAAATAGAAAATACAATTTTATTCTAGCCTGTTACTTTACTGTTCTCCTAATACTTTTACCCTTTCTTTAAATGTGAAAGTGTTTCCAGCGTAGAACAAAAAACCTAAAAATCTGCAAGAAGATTACATTTACAATATAAAAACATAAGGTCTGCAGGTTTTGTACTCAGAGATTACTTGTTGGATTTATTTATATGTAACCAGACCTGGATATCCAAGGAGCTCCACTATAACAACATACCCTTTGGAATTCACAGACTTATGACTGCTCATAAGCAGAACTAGATCTTCCCAGGGAATAAAGTGAGAGAGAAGAGGAAGCATTTGTTGCTTGTAAAGAGAAAAGCAGTGTATGGTGAAATAAGGAAAGGAGGGTGTGACAGCTGTGCAGCAGCTGGGGACTGCTGTGGTAAAAATGGTATTGGCCGGCAAGAAGGGAACAGTTGGCAGCCACAGGTTGTATCAGAAGGACATTTACAGGAGGAATCAAACGCACTACCTGTAACTTCTGCAGATGACTATGTAAAGGGTTCAAGCTGGTTGGTAGTATCTCTTCCCTTCCTCTTTGGTCACCTGCCAAATGTCTGTAACCTTCTCTTGGTAACAAAAGCATGTGTGAGCTATTCTCACTTCTGATGTGAAGTTCAGAACGGCAATAATAACAGCCTACAACATCTGTGAAGTCTTATGCTGTGAGGCATTCATAGCATTATGTTAATACTTCTGGCAGGTAATGTGATTTAGTTGTAAAGTATTTGTCAAGTGTTACTGTTCAAGAGAAAAGATGGTTTATGTTGCTCGGTTTGTTTTGGTTCCCTCTATAGTTAGCTAGATTATAATATCTAACCAAATGTCTAATCAAAATATAGATAAAGATGTCTCAGCTGTCAAAAAGAGCGGGAAAGTAAAAAAAAATGTTGAGTCCCTTAAGAACAAAGAGAGGTAATTACAGGGTTGACATTGTGTAGTTTTCTCTCCAAAAGAGGATGGAAGCTTCCTGTGGTGTGGGACAGATTTGGATCAATATCTCCCAATAATGCCAAGATCTGAAAAGTTTTATTCCAGGATTCCTAGAGAATATTAGCTCTCAAAATGTGTATTTTTAATGCCTCGACTCTCTATTTTCACTTTCTTTTCAGTTGATGTTTAGTGAAAGGGTTTATTGGTAGAAATCTTTGTTTCCAGAATGCACGCAGACCGATGTGGGCAAGAAAGAGACTGTTTAGCTGCAGATGAACCATTCTGCAATGGCTTCATTATCCCTCACTCTAGATGAGTAGTCAACATGCTAAAGCAGGTAGTGGGAGAATTTGGCTCTAGCATTTTAATAGTTTTGGCACTACATTTTTAGGGAAAAGGCAATCATTCAAAGCAAAATGGTAGCTTTTTATGTGGCCTTCCCATCTGAGAGAAGTACCTTCGCAGTTTTCTTAGTGGAACACAGTAACTGACACTAAGTTGCTTGCTGAAGAGGCAAAGGAAGCAATGAAATTAATGACCTTGAGTCCAATTAGGATGCAAAGGGATTAATGGACTCAGAGTCTAAACTGACAGAATTTGATGAATCCTAGGAAAAGCTATCAAAAATATCTTTTCCTCAACACCGGAAATGGCTAATGATGTGCTATTTTCAACATAAAACCTCCTGGAAATGGGGAGTACCCACTGCTGAAAAATCAGATCCTATTTTCATATGTTAACCTAGATTTCGCAGAACAATTTACAGATGTTGGTTTGTCTGCCTTTACCACAGCATATTGCTAAATACAGGGCATTCAACTATTTCTTCCTGTTTATACCGTGCTTTGCACATTGCTGGCTGCATTACTATTTGCTCCTTTCATGGACTTCCTTCTTTTGTGTCTTGTTGCAGTTGACACCAAGGTCTAACAAGGCCACAGAGAGCAGCTACACGTGCTTCAGGGTAATAAATCTCTATGTTGGAACTGCTTGTTTCAAGCTGATACAAATATAACAGACAGACTTACTTAGTAAAATGTAATTTTACAAAACCTAAATATTTTGTCCGATTTGGTCTTTTCAGTTTTAATAAACTGTGTTTTCCATCTTTTCTTGGTCTCTGCCAGCATCCTTCATAGTCCTTCTATATGAAAGACTTGTGCTTTCTAGCAACTCTGGTAAGACCACAAATAATATGGAACAAAGGCAGAAGGAT